GGGTCCTCCGGAGGACCCGGCCTGTCGTTTTGGACACAGCCAAAGAAAATCATCACTTCTTTGTCATTACTCTTCTTCAGTGATAGAGCTTTGTGATGTTTCAAATTGTTAAACACTGCCACCAACTGTTCAGGAGGATTATTACACCACTAAATGTTGTTTCACTGCGTAAGGGGTGTGTACAGCAGGGTGGCCAATGGGGTGGCCAAAGATTTGTCTATGGTGGCCATGGCCACCCCCTGGCCACCCCCTGGCTCCGCCCCTGAAGTCTGGGATATTTACACAGCTGACCTGGATGTTTAATCTTCTGTCACAGCAAAGATATTCACAAGAAAGGTGTTGTTAAGCACATCCTATCAGTGATTTTCTTTGTACCTCATCAAGTAAACTCATGACATCTGGTGAGGGAGTGTTTCAGAATCCCAGCTACTCTCAGCACTAAATTACATAACCTCCACTACAAGTTATTATCATCACCCAAAATCCCCCAACGCATCTCCACAGCCCACTTAACAGATTAAAGCACATGCACGTGGTAGAAAAGTGTTTTAATTAAACACTAATCGCTTCACTTTGTCCAACAAAACCTCTCCAAGACCTAAATCTGCCGCTTTATCTGGCCGTGTAATTAGCAGCGCCCAGTTGGCAACGTTCTCCAGGTGGTAAATATATCATACTTAGACATAACTTCATCCAGTTAAGAGGAAAGTTAACTCTTCTAATCAATGCTCTCTGCCTTGGGCATTAATAAAATCTAGTTAAGTAGAGATTAAAACCTCGTATAATTGAGTAAAGTCATTCACTGTTACAAAAAAAATTGATTATATTACATGAAGCAACATTAAATTTACATTTCAGTCAGCTTATCCAAAAGAAGTGAGCACACCAAGGTGAAAGAAGTGGTTATCTGCTATGTTTGATGACATGTTTTATACAAAGTGTGGGTTTTAGCTAATTAGCTCAATTCTACCAAGCATCACAATTATTTACACTGAAAAAACAAACAGTTTCAATCAGCTGTGAAAATCCATTCACTGTGGTGGAAAATAACTGATTTTATTCTACCGCTATGGATAATTAAGTTGTACTCTTTTTTTATTTATTTTATAACTGTTTTGTCGCTAAAAGAGGTGGAGGTCAGTTTGAAGTACTCAAAGCCCTGCTGCCCACCCACACAGATGTTTCCACAAACTGCTGATTATCCTTCAGTTTCTGCTGCTTTGTTCGTCTAATGAGTCGTCACATTCTGAGGGTTTCAGTTTCTTCTTGGTTGCAATAAATCTTCACTTTTCATGCAGGAGCTTTGATCCTGAAACTATTATCAGTTTCTTTTTTGTTTGTTTTGAACTAATCTTGGAAAATGCTCTATGACCAGAGCTATAAGAGGTGAGCTGGTGGTACATTAAGTTTTCAGTAATGTTTCGACTGAGTCAGCGACATGGATGTCCCAGTCTGATTTTGAGTATTAGATCAGAAACCAATCGAGACATTTTWATTGATCAGTATTTCTGTCAGTGATCTCACTTCAACTCTGTTGTTTTACATCAGCATGGCTCAGTGTAATTAGCATGRATAGCTTATAATTAAATATGCAGACCTTAATGGGKTTTTTTTTCTTGTTTGTTTTTGTCTAGTTTATTATTGATAAATGGTGCAGTTGTTTGGCACTGCTGCCTTGCAGGATGGGTCCTGGGTTTGAGGCTTAACCATAGACTTAAATATTTAGATCACTAGACTGAGCCCCGCCCATACCATCCACTGGTAGTGTCTGTGACAGCATGGAGGAGCAGAAATGGCGTCCAAACAGGGCAACAGCTCACAGCCTCCATAGAAACTAATAGATAAAAAACAGCTGAACTGGATCTGCTTCACAGATT